AATGACTATGATAATGGTGATGCAAATATTTTATATCGCTTTAAAAGACCGATATAAATATTTTCATCAGTTGTCATAATTGATGTGAACTTGTATCAGTCGCAGAAAATGATATTAAATTTTGCATCAGTTACTAGAAATGATATTAATATTTTCTACGGGTAAAACAATTGGTATTATGGTTGGATCAATTTTAAATCGATCATCATTATATTAGCAGTAATTAATTGAATGATATAAAATTCTTAAGATGATTTCATTAAAAAAATCAACTAACGATTCTAGAAATATTAATTATGGACTCCTTAATTTTAGTTGCCTATAACCTTAATAATCGGCTGATCCACTGTTATATTTATCAAAGGATTTTTCCTTCAACTATTTTTGAGTTGTCGATGTGGGATAACTTCAAATTATTAACTTGTATCGATAACTAATATTACTAATTTACATCAATATAATATGACCGATAGAAAATGAGTTAATAATTGTAATTAAAAATTTATTAGCATCACGAAAAACTGATGTGGAATTTGTATCACTTTCTAAGTGATGTTTAATTTAGATTAGAAGTTGCATCGATTATTAAACTGATATAAATCCATTTATTTATATCAATTATGTTAAAATGATACAAACTAATAAAAAATTGTATCAGTTATATTAAATTGATATTAAATCAATCAATGATAACATCAGTTATCATAAGTGATATTATAAAACAAATTTTGTATCATTTATTACTAACTAATTTAAAATAGTGTCATTTAAGTTTGTGATACTATTTAAGTGATGTAATACCTATCTTTTTTTGTANTGTGTGTGAAAACTCTAGAAAATCATACATTTTAAAACGGAGGGAGTATACATCTATTTAATTTGAATCATGATCGCCAATTATCTTTCTGCAAACCTCTAGTCTTGACTCCTAAGGTATTGCTACAATTCTAGATTGTGAACACTAATAATTAAAGCCAATTTGTGATTGCAAGTCACTACAATATGTTCTAGAGTTTGTTGTGAATGTAAAATAAGACATTGCATCACATTTCATGATCTGCCTGATATAACTTAAGCAGACACTTAACATAGACCATGATCATGTTCAACATTCTGCAAAATCTGATTAAGATAGCCCTAGAAATTGATCT